GATGGAGTATAAGGTGTGGGGATTGGATGCTCGAGGGCATTCTAGACACAAAGAGAATAGTGTAAAGACCCTGTAATGAGAAGAAGTATGGAGTAATGGTGGAACTAAAAAAGCCACAGTGTGCTGGAATCCAGACAACAAGAAGAGTGGTCTGAAATGAGACCAGATTGGTCAAGGGGCCTGCCACGCAGGGTCTTCTAGGCCATGCTTAAGATTAGCTCTTCATCCAAAGAGCAATGTGAAACTCATAAAGGGTTTTATGCTCGTGTGTTTTGAAAAGATCACTTTGACTACACTATGGAAAACTGATAGGAAGAGAAGCTAGAGTCTATATAGGGAGCCTAGTCAAAATGTTCTTTCGATAGGTCAGTGATAATGGTGTCGTTATAAAAATATATAGGCTTGATAACAACATATCAAATCACTTAAGGGAAGACAAACTATTCCAAAAATGGTGTTGGCTCCCTACCCTCATCCTTACACCAAAACCAATTCTAAACACATGAGTGATTTAACTTTTATTAAATGAGGCCAAACATAGAAATAATCAACCATAGCGATTAATTTGAATAATGTCTACAAACTGACCTATGATTTTACTGGAATTTAGAACATGATAAAGGTGCCATTGTAAACCACAGACTATTTAATAAATGTCAAGATAACTGTCTATTATTTTGTTAAAAATTAAAGGATTATATACACATAAAGGACTGGAAGAATATTCATCAAATTGAGTAAGTGGTTAGCTCTGAGGAAGAGAATATAATCTTGGAGACAGACTTTAATTTGGTCAATTTTAAAACATTTTTTATAATGAATATGTACTCATGTATTAAGACTTTTAAAATACAGAAAAAATTTAACTTAAAAAAGTCTCAATGTATAACAAGATAATAGAATACATGTAGAAAGCATAAATCCAAGAAATGATAAAAAGAATCAATAATTTTGACAGCCAAAAATAATAAGTTTCTATAAAACCAAAAATATATCATAAAATAAAGCCAGAATATAAACTTGGAAAAACTCTTGCAGGGTTAATTTCCTTAATTTACGAAGAACTCTAAAAATCAACATGAAAATGGCAACCTAATAGAAAAATGAGCAAAGATCATGTTCATAGGAAAATACAGAGCCAATAAACAAGCACAAAATAGAAGAAATGCAAATCAAAATATCACTTTCATCTATCAGAGGACTGGTGAAAATTAATTTATCTAGTTAATTTGGATATACATATCCAAACAAGCATGCAAAATAATTGTGTGTGTAAAGATGCGCACTGTAACATTTTCTACAGGAGCAATTTTATAATACAAAGTAATTAAATATAGTATCAGTACATCCTATACAGTTGTTGAAAGAATGAGGCATATTTCTATGTAATGATTTGGAGAAATATCAAGTTATACTGAGATGAAATCAAAGTGCAGAACAGTCTGAACAAACCTACTCATCTAATATCTTCTAAGATCTGTTTGCCTGAGATAAGGGGAGGTGGGGGTTAGATGAAGTTGACCCACAGGCAACCTAAGATGAAAAGCCTACCTTTCCAGGAGTAGGAAATACCAATATAAAATGACTACTTCATGGTTTTATTTGAGGCCACTCTGTGCCCATACCATTTTTGAAAATTGATTAGCCTTCATGTTAGAATTATACATATCCAATACAAAAAACCCTGAAAATAAATATAATTCACTCTTATACATAAAGTTCACCTTTGAAAGCCTGTTTTCAACTGTCTTTTCAAATCGTCCATAAGGGGAAAAAAGGTTCAAACTGTGCTTGTGTGGATATAAGCAAATATCCACTTATAAATACTGGTCCTTCCTTCCTCCCTATTTCATGCCTCCCCAGGAACAATAAAATGTCGGATGAAATTAGAAGATATTTTACTAAACTGTTTAAAAATTAAATTCAAATACCAAAATGCCTAATCCCTATCCAGTTCTTAGCCTCTTAAAACACATAAATGCTAAGAGAAGTACAGCAGGTCCTCCAATAAAGCTGTTTCGTTGTAATGCTGAGGAAAAAAAAAAAAAATGATTCACGGCAGGGGCCACTGTCTATGTGGGGTCTGCACATTTTCCTCATGTCTGCATAAGTGTTCTCTAAGTACTCAGTTTCCTCCCACATCCCAAAGGTGTGCATGTGAAATGGCATGTCTTAACTGTCTCAGTCTGAATGAGTGTGTGTGAGTGTGTGGGGGGGGGGGCCGGGGGGCACCCTGAGATGGACAGGTGTTTTGTCCAGGGTAGGTTCCCGCCTTATACTCTAATCTGCCAGGAGAAAATCCAGCCACCTTCAACTCTGAACTAGAATAAGTGGGTGAGAAAATAATTATCGTCTTCATTAATCTTTTAAAATTAACCTTAAGTGTCTGTATAGCTCACATTTATTTCAATGTTTAATATTAGAAATGTTTTGGGTCTTTACTTAGAAGTTTGGTGTTTCTGTGACCAGAAATATGCCACAGGAACTTAAATGTTATTTATGCCAATTAGTCTGTGTTAAAACTGATTTTTTTGCATGTCATTTCATTTAAAGTCACAGTTTCCAAGAACCTTTCAGTAGCATTAACTGAGGACTTACAGTACTAGCAAACTGACTTTTATAAAGAAAGGGAGATTTGTGTTTATCACCCATAAAAATTGTAAAACACAGCTATTTTTAAATCTTTTTCATCCATTTGATTAAAGAAATTAGATTCTACCACTACCATCACCACCACCACCACCACCCCCACACTAAAAAATACCACAGCTTCTTAAGGGCAGGAACCTGTTTTAGTCACTACTCTGCAAACACTTCCTTCACTACCTAAGCCACAGAAATGAATATTTACTGAATTTTGTCAATGTTTATATTCATTGTATTTATATATGCCAGGAACATGTAAATCAACTTGAATTTTAAAGTATTATATATATCAGTTTTAATTAGCCTCCAGGAAAAAAAGAGAAAATGTATTTATAAATAGGACATTCCTCAACAGTGTTATGCTTCTATGGAACTTTCTTCATGTAAGCTTGAGCTGTTTTAAGTACTATTCAGTTAACAGTTTCCACTTAAAATTACTTGTTTTTTTTTTTTTAATAGAATGGAAGCAGTTCTCTTTTGGCTAGCACCTCAGAACAAATGTCAATGCACACTGGCACTAGAGCAAAAAACATAAGCAATCCTACCTCACATTTAAATCCCTTGGTGTCCAGAGACATTAAGAAGCTGTTCTATCCAGGGCAAGACAGACCAGGGTTACTAAATCAGAATCAGCCTAGAAGAATCATTTTACAAAGAGTAATTTAAAACAATACTTTTGCCTTTCATGTTTCAGAGGAGTTGTTCACCACCCCAACACATATCCCTAATGTGAGAACAATGTTAAATAACACCAAAGACATGGGCTTGACTT